ACACACACACACACACACACAAATAAATAAATAAAATTTTAAAAAATAAATAAATAAATCATCTTCCTGGGCTCTTTGCTCTTGGTTCTCCACATAAATCTGACCAAAAACCACCAACAATAGCCATGCCACTACTTCAATATTCGACTGCTTTGAAATTTCTTTTGCCAGATTAATCAGTCCACCATGCTTAATCTCAGTCTCAGGCAGTCTCTGAACAGGAACAAAATTCAGACAAACTTTCTGCCAAGCCATAACACAAATCATCTGGGGTCCAACAACCAATGCAGTCCTTCTGCCCAGCAGAAACCTCCCCAGCCTGGTCTTTATAGACAAGGTTTCTATCAGCCTTCTGGTTTTCTGAGCTCTGACCAGAATCTCTCATACAGAACATCTGAAGTTGTTGCAGTGCTTCCCTTGTAGGCAACATTTCCAAACCCTCCTATCTCTTTCCATAAGTCATTCCCAAAAGTTAGTAATCCACATGATCAAGTAGTCACAGCAATGGCCCCACTCCTAGTGCCAAATTCTGCCTCAATTGCTCTTCTCTCATTGCTGGGACAAAATACCTGACACCCAAAATGAACGAAGGAAAAGTTTATTTAGCTCACAATTAGTAATTAGTAATACTCAGCTGGCTCCAAGACGGAGTGGCACATGGCAGAGAACAACCATTCTTGGCAGCAGCAAAAAGCAGAGAGGAAAGGGAGGGGCAGCAGCTCAGGTAGCTAGCAAGCCTCTCCCCTCCTCACACTGTAAAGCAGATTACCCACCCTAGGGCTAAGGCCTAGCCCTCACACCTGTAATCTCACCATTAGATCAAGAATCAGCCACAAACTCCAGAAGCCACCCCATGACCACATGAGGCTTTGGAGGAACAACTAGACACAAGCCATTAACAGTGGCAATACTTACATTTCTTGTTAATAAAATCATTGAAAAACAAATGTTCAGTAGAACACATATTTAGCATGCACAAGGCTTTGGGTTGGATCTCCAGCACAGCAATGGAAACATGGGGTAGTGTTGAAGGAAAACTGCAAATACTTATTCAGAAGCTAATGGGTGATCTTCACTATAATGTCGTCATCTCAGAATCCTTCCCAATGTTGAATCCTACCCTTGAGTTTAGCATGAAAACTTCCATTTTATTGTAACATTTCCGCACTCGAAGCTCCCCAGTTTGAACTTCTAGTTATCTGTAGGAGGAAAGTCAAGGGCATCTGGCTATCTTCCAGCCTTCCCTGACATTCCCAATTCATGGTCTCTCTCTCCTAGCAAGTCAGTTACTGCTGGATGACTTGGTCCTTCATAGTTAGAAATGTGCACATGTAAAGACCCAGTTCTCAGCCAAGTCCTTAACTTCTACACAGTCCTAACCCCAACCCTAACCCAGGGGCCTGCCTAGAGTAGATTCATGTAAAAAAATTCCTTGCTTGACTTCAGAAAGGCTAGTGGGAATACATTTTAAAAAGTAGATGTCAAGGAATTTTTGTGCTTTGCAAAGCATGAAATAAAGTACATGGTTTTTCAAAGAACTAATGGAAGCACTTTATTCTCTTAGAAAAGGCACAAGACACATAAAAAAGTGTTATAAAAATAAATTTCTATAAATTAGTATTTCCTTTTTTTTTTTTTTTTTTGTGGAACCGAGGATTGAACTCAGGCCCTTGTGCTTGCCAGGGAAGCGCTTATCCCACTGAGCCATCTCCTGGCCCAATTTCTATAAGTTAGTGCCTGGGGAAAAGATCATTGTAAACTATAGGGAAGCTGTAAATAGGTATATCTGGCTCCTTGAGGCTCAGAACTATGTTTTGTTTAGATTTGCCTCACGGTATCTCCCACACCATGTACAAGATTCGATCATTCATGTAGTGAAATAAATGAGTGCATCTTCATGAGCCAGATAGGCGAAGGATGAGACAGATGTCCCTGGAGGGGGCTGAGCGCCCCTTCCCAGCAATGCCAGACACAGTTGGGGCCCCCAGAGAAGGGATAGGTGAGTTGGTTTTATTTTTTGTCTATAGCATTGTTGCTTTGGTGCTGGGGATTGAACCCAGGGCCTCTTGCAAGTGAAGCCCATACTCTACAACTGAGCTCCCCTCCCCCTTCCCTGAGCTAGCCTGAATGTCCTTTCCACCTCTCGCTATCTGAAATATAATAAGAGCATTCAACAGTGTTTAAAATGTCTTGCTTGATAGTTTTTAAAAATTAATGCTGGGTTTATCCACTTTGCAAGTTTAAATCCTTGCCCCAATAATGGCTATTTGGCATCCAAATTGAAAGTGGCAGAATGCTGAACAAATGGTTCTACTCGACTGCAAGAAAAATCAGATTTCCCAAATAGTGGTGGCAGGGACAAAATGCTGCTCCCAGTAGCTGCCCCCAACATGTGCACATGTGGTGTGTCTCTGATGCCAGATGAACATGTGTACCAATTCTTCTGGTCTGGTACATCTACTAGCTCAGTCACCGGAGGGTAAATTACTTCATCTCCACAGGTCTCCATCTCCTTATCTTGAAGATGGAGATACCTGTTCTCATGCAAGATTGCCAGGAGGATAAAATCAGATAATGTTGCAAAACCACCAATAGTAGGCTTGCAATATGATAGCTACTATGCTTAAATATAAATTTGCATGTTTACATGGCGATTTGCATATTTGTGAACATTGCTACAGTCATTATTGCTTATTTTAATCTTCAAAACAACCCAGTAAGGATTAAAGGGTTTTTTGTTTGTTTGTTTTATTTTGTTTTTGTACTGAAAATTGAATTCAGGGTCTTTGCATTAAGCTACAGTGTCAGACCATTTTTTAATTTTTTTGAGACAGAGTTTCCCTGAGTAGCTAAGTCATCCAGGGTCTGCTCAAAGTTGGAATCTTTCTGCGTCAGGTCTCTATTATTTCACCAGTGAGAATCAAGGCACTTGCCCGCATAATATGCTGTAGAGCTGTGATTGCAATCAAGTTTGCTTCTAGGTACAAAATTGTTCTGTTTCACTTGCTGCTGAAGTAGGATTAGACAGGGTGTCTGAGATTTCCTTTATTCACCAAACGTTTGTTGCCCCTTGAATACTTGAGCTTGATATCTGATAACTGTCCTGTTTGTGATGTCCCTTACTGGTTGGCATAGAACTCAATAAATACATGTGGAATGAATGATTGGATAAAACCAGGTCTCTGATTCCTCTCACTAGATTATCCCCGTGCTGCTAAAGAGAAGAGAAGCCTCTGCTAGTTGAGGCAGGCTACACATGACAACATGACTCTCAGAATATTATGCTAAGTAGAAGCCAGACCAAAAAAAGAGATGTACTGTAGGGTTCCATTTATAAAGAAATATTAAAAATGCAAACCAGTGTACAGTGAGAGAAAGTCGTTTGCTAGTTGCCTGGGAATGGGACTAAAAGGGGCCCAGAGAACAATTTCCAAAGCACAATGGAATGTTTGCGGGTGATTGGTATGTCCCTTGTTTGTGGTGATGGCCTCATGGGTGTGTAAGCATGTTCACATGTATCCAGTTGTATGCCTTAAGTAGGTGCAACTCATTCATGTCAACTGTACCTCACAAGGCTGTTTGGAGGGATGAAATCAGATAATGTTGCAAAACCACCAATAGGAAGAGGAAGAAGAAAAGAGAAGGAAGTAGAGAAGAAGGTCGACTCTTTAGGATCCCTGGTAGTTCCCTGCTGGCACATAGTAAGAACGCCACTCTGTCTCTTTTTTTCTATCTTGGATGCTAAGTGAAGAAAAGATGCTTGGGATGCAGAAGGCCCAGCATCTGGTCTTCTCTTCCATTCATGAAGGTGTGATACTAAGCCTTAGCCTGACCCCTGCTGGCCAGCTTCCTTTGGCTATATTGGTCCCTGTACTCCCACTCTACCCAAGGCACAGGTTGGATGATTACCTGAGAAGACACCTGTTGTAGTGTTTTGTGAGCAGTGAGTGTAAGTCGAAGGGAGGAGGCATGGGAGGTGACAGGGATGTCTTGAGCACATGCTACAATGGAAACCAGAAATCCCCAGGAGCAGCTGAGTGCTATGTCCCTTTGTGAAATAACCCCAAACCCCTACATTAAAAGTTTCCTTGTGTCTACTAGTTTAGTTTATCAAGAGGTGCATTGTAAATGGGGAGCTGTAGCTCCAGCACCCTGGAAGGCTGAGGTGGGATCACAAGTTTGGCACCAGCCTGGAGAACTTAATAATTTACCAACTTAGGAAGAATCTTAACAGTAAAAAGTAAGAAGGGTTTGGAAGGCAACTCAGTACAAGGACTCTGAGTGAAATTACCAGCACCAGAAAGAAAGAAGGAAAGAAAGGGAGGGAGGGAGGATGGAAGGGATGGAAAGAGAGAGGGAGAGAGAGAGAGAGGTTCTAGGTTCAGCTTTTTCACTCACTAATGGAGATCTTGTACAGATCACATCTCTCTTGAGTATCTTCCAAATAGGGAGTTGGACTCAATGGCCCCCAAAGTTTCTTCCACTCTTGTGTTACTGGGTTCTATCCTCTTCCTGTCAATCAATTGGCCAACACTGATGACTGCCAATGGGGAGGGCAAGTGTGACCAATGGCCTTTCTTTCCTCACAGACCTTTAATGATCTTGAGTTATCAGGAAAGTGATAACTTTTATCAACTTCCCACTTCCCACCAACACACACACACAGTGAACTTGTTCTTCCCTACTGCTCTTTATCTCTTTTTTGTTTTTGTTTTACTCTCATAAATACCACATTAGCATATATGTCCAAAAATCTTTTTAAATTTATACATTCAAAATCTATCATGTGAATGAATAGGCTAAAAATCTTACCTCCCAGAAAGCTTGATCATCAAAATGCTTAACCATCTGAGGTGCTCTCCATATTTTGAGCTTTAGGAGCAAACCTTAAAACAACAATAAAGAACTATTAAAACACTTGCGGCACAACATTGGTATGTCAAGATTAATCAACACATTGGTTGTGGACCACAGCATCTGAACAGAAATCATTTCTCTTCAAGAGATAGACCAAAGGGAGCCCTGTCATGCCTGGGTCAGTTGCATTAATTCTGTAGCTGTCTTCCACTAGGAACTGGCAAGAGCAGTGTTCTCCAACATTCTCCAGAGGGTTGAAATGACACTGAGTAGCACCTATTAGCTTCGAGTCAGATGCCCTTCCCAAAACAGAATAGAAGGGCTGTGGCAGATGGTGACACTCCAAAGCTGACCCCTTTAAAATTCAAGAGCTACCGTGGAGAGCATCTCCCGCGAGGCTCACATGCACATGTCTATCTTCAAAAGCCCTGAAGCCTCTGCTACTGCAGTGAGGAACATCCTTTGCAACAGCTTGCTTTTGTTCCTGCTTTTCCTCTTTTTTTTTTTTGTCCCACCTCTACTCGGGTAACTTGACCCTACATATCCCATTAGCTTTGCAAAGTCAGCTGAATTTTCCAGGTTACATTGACAGCTTGTTTTTCCTCAGAGGCAGGAAAATCTGTGTCTGTCTCTGTCTCTGTCTCTTTCTGTCTCTGTGTGTGTGTGTGTGTGTGTGTGTGTGTGTGTGTGTGTGTGTAGCCAAGGCCTCAAACTCTTGGGCTCAAACAAAAGGATTGAGCCTTCCTGAGTAACTGGGGTGACAGGCGTGGACCACCACACCCAGTTATTTGTGTATTTTTAATGATAAGGGCTTCAGTGTATTAATAAGATTTACACGAGTAGGTGTGTGCTTAGTAAAATTCCCATTTTCATTTCAGAGTGTAGCCTTTAATTCATACTGGAACGCAAAGTGAAACAAGCATACTTCATGTCCAAAAAATCACTCAGAAATAATCACCTGCTTGAATTTTCCAGATAGCCGAAGCTTACTCATCCCGGATGAAAACTCAAATGAGATACATATTCTTATGAGACAACACTGAACATACTGAGAGACTTAAAAAAATCAGGATTGTCATTAGGAATATCCATTTTCGAGACATGCTGCGTAGCACAGAGAAGTACATGGTGGCCAAGAGTGCTGGCCTGTTCGCTCGGCAGCCTGAGTGTCTTGTGTTCTTGGTTCCAGTTTTAAGAATTTCTCTACCTCTGTTAAGCTCTCTGCTTTCCATTTTGAATTCTACCAATGTGTATTACCTATGGAAACATAACCCACCTCTGCTCTATTTCTAATCTACCCAAGTGGAAAACCTAATAACCACACTCAGAAGGATTGTTTCTTTCTTTAAAAAAAAAATTTTTTTTTTAATCTTCTACGTATTTATTTGGTACAGGGTCTTACTATGCAGCTCAGACTTGCAGTGATCCTCCTGCCTCAGCCTCCCCAGTGCTGGGATTACAGGCATGCTCCACTATACTCAGTTTCAGTGGCTGGCCCAGCATGAGGAACCAGGGATCAAGCCCAGGTCTTTGTGCTTGCCAGGCACGCACTTAGACTGCTGAGCTATCTCCCCAACGCTTAAAAGGTTTGTTCATTACATAAATATGGACAGACACCGAATGTGTGGGTGGAGGTGCCTACTAATAAGATAAATGCTTGACTTTAAGGGGTCAGTTTGGTCCTTCCATTGTCCAGGCTTATTTGTTTTGGTGGTGGTGGTGGTGGAGTCTGAAATGCTAAGGATGAACCCAGGGCCTCACATACACTAGGCCAGTACCCTCTTGCTGAGCTACGCCCCACCAAATCCTATTTGGTTTTGGTCTGTCTGCTTTTTTGTCTGTTTTTACCTTTATGATACTGGAAATAGAGCTCAGGGCCTTCACACTGAACTACATCCCCACACCTTTTTGAGTTTTTATTTTGTGATAGGATCTCACTAAGTTATTCCCTTGACCAGGCTGGGCTACACATTTGATCATCCTGCCTCAACCTCGAGAAGTGCTGGGATTACAGTCATTGCATGGCCAGCCCATGTTGCTTTTAATCATTCTAATGTCCCCAGTGGCAGAAGCTCATTGAAGAAAGACTGCAGGTCACTGAGGAAGGTCTGAGAGCCCTTTCAGTTCTGAAAGGATGTAATTCTGTGTTGTTTTTTAAAGCAAGGATTGAGTCCTTTGTGACACTGAGCTGGAACTGACAATGTTGGTCCATGGTCCATGGGGATGGGAAGACAGCACCTACAGGGTCATCCTGGCATGAGCTCTGGCCCTCACCCTTGGCCCAAGGCAGTGGCAGAAGAAGGGAGCATCACACTGACCTGTTAGGAAACCAGAGCCCATACCCATTGCCATCGCGAAGCTGAGAGCGCCAATGTCCATGAGCATCATGTAGCCAGTCCTAGAAAAGACAAGGCAGAACTGTCACAGAGGCATCATAGTGTAGAGGTCAAGAGGAGGAGAAGGACTGTGGGCATCAGGAGTACTGCTGCAGGAAGGACCATGAGGAGCCCAGGTGTCCTCTCCCCGGGGGCGGGGGGGGCGGGCATTCCCCTGTCGTTTTCCAACAGACATGCAGACATGTAATGGGGAAGAAGGAGGTCCAAGATCCACCTTGGTGTATTTTAATCTTCAGACACCACAAATAATAAGGTAGACTATGAGTCAGAAGACCCAAGTTGAAGTGTCACCAACTGGTCACTTACCCCCTCAGAGCTCCTGGATTCCTCAATGTCCAATTAAAGATGAAGGAATGGGCAAGACGGGAGATAGCTTGGCTGGCAGAGCATCTCCCTTGCCCTGCCCACTCCTGCCTCTGGAATTATTTTCCAGTGCCCTTTCTCTCAGGGCCATCCCAGAGCACTATTTTCAAAACTCAACTATGTATTAAGAGGACCTTCGGTGCTGAGTGCAATTTTCCCAAGGTTTAGCCTGTGCCTAGGCACTGCTATGAGTAATTGCACAAATCAAGCCAGTTCGTTTTTTTTTTTTTTTTTCAGCACCAGGGATCAAACTCAGGACCTTGCACTTGCCGAGTGGGCACTTATGCCACTGAGTTATCTCCCCAGCCCTAATTGAGCCAGTTTTTAGGCCTTTTCTGTTTCTTATTTCAACAGCATCACAGGCAGCTGGGCAGCTGGTGTCCCTGTTTTGACAATAAAGCACAGCTCAGAGCCTGCCATAGGTTTCTGTCTGTCTCTGTCTGTGTCTCTGTCTCTGTCTCTCTGTCTCTCTGTCTCTCCTCTTTCTCTTTCTTTTATTCTTTCTTTTTTGGGGGTAGGGGGTGAGGGCTGGCTCAGGAATGTCTTCAGGGCAGGTGTGAGGGAACTGAACCACAGCATCCTGATTGCTTTGTTTAAGCAGTCACTTAAACAACTGAGCTATTGGGCAGGCCCCCTCTTCCTCTTTCCTTCTTTTGCTATAATGGGGCTTGAGCCCACAGGGCCTTTGCACTGAGACATATCTTCCGCTTTTTTAATGCCCCTTCTTTCTTTAAATTTTGAGTAAGTGTCTAACTATATCACCTAGTCCAGGCTGGGTTCAAACTTATGGTCCTCTGCCCTCAATCTTCCAAGGGATGAGGTTTCAGGTGTGTACCACCACACCCAGCTCAAAAAATTCTTAAACTGGTCATAAAAAAAGCTAAAACATAGGGAACATGATCAACTGGACTACATTAAAATTAAGCACTTGTATTATCAAAAGATACAAGAAAAGGAAAAGTAACTTACAAAATAGAACATAATATATATAAAACAAAGGACCTACACTTAAAATACATAAAGAATTCTGAGCTTAGTGTGGTGGTGCACACTTGTAATCCCAGCACTCAGGAGGTTGAGGAGGAGGATTGCTATGAATTCAAGGCTAGGCTAGAATATATCATAGTGAGTTCAAGGCCAGCATGGAATACACAGCAAGACCCTGTCTCAAAGAGAGAGAACAGAGGAGAGAGAGAGAGAGAGAGAGAGAGAGAGAGAGAGAGAGAGAGAGAGAGACAGACAGAGACAGACAGAGACAGGGACAGACAGACAGACAGAGAGACAGACTGAGATAGACAGACAGAGACAGAGAGACAGAGAGAGAGAGAAAGAGAATTCTCACAAATCAATAAGGAAGAGAACACAATAGAAAAAGGTCAAAGAATTTGAACAAGCATTTCATAAGATATACAAATATCCAAAAGGCCTATGAATGCATGTCAGACTGTTATTCTGCCACCAAACTCTGTCCTCAGCTTGTTTTTTGTTTTGTTTTGCTATTTATTTATTTATTTATTTATTTATTTATTTATTGGAATTAGGGATTGAACTCAGGCCCTTGTGCTTGCCGGGCAAGCACATATTCTACTGAGTGTTTTAGTTTATTTTTTGAGATAGCCCTGCCTCAGCCTCCAGAATAGCTGGGATGACAGGAGTGTGCCACTGCACCCCTTGAAGTATTCTTTTTAATTAATTGTTAGGGGAATTAAAATTGAAAGAGCGGGCCGATGGCTGAGGGGTTTTCCTGCATGGACTTACTAAATCCTTTGAACCATGCAGCGCAGGCATCGCGGACTCCATTTCCCCTGGGGAGCCAGGGCTGGGGGAGGCTCGGTGGTGTGTCTAGCCAGGAAGCGATGAGCACTATTTCAAGACCAGTCTGACTGCGCAGCGCAAGCTGTCCACCTTGGCCTCAGCCACCATTGCTCGCAAAACTGACCCAGTAGGTTTGGGCCAGACCCACCGGGCCTGTCCGCATTGTGCAGCTCAGGACTTCAAGCCTCTGAGCAGCAGATTAATCTGCCCCTGTTGGGAGGAAGCGGCCTGGAGGAGCAATAATGCCATCAAGCACGGTAAGAATTTCTGAGGACATCAACCACCAAAAGTGCCCTGATTCTCTGGCCCTGAATGCATTTCCCCTCCATGGGGCTCTGGGCTCATCTGATACGGAGCCGGACAGGTGTGAAGGAAGAGTGGGGCCTCAGAACTCACCCAGCGATTCCGGAGCTCGTAAGCACTGTCAGCACAATGTAAGCAAACCCTCCCAGCAGACCTGGAAAGGCAAAAGTGTAGTGCACGCCGCTGTGGTCCTGGATCCCCAGCACACTGTTAAGGCACATCTGGGGACAAAAGGCATTATGAGCAGCTTGGCAAGTGAGACCCAGACCCCCACCCTAAACCCCACCCCACTTCGCTGGTCACAAATCCTTGGTATCCAACACTACCAAAGGGGGATAACAGGAAGGTGTGCCCTCCGCAGACTTGAACATGCCTCTCCTGGAGACTCGTTACAATGCAGACAACGATTCCATGGGGTGAGGAGTCCTCAGGTGCCACACTGCTAACAAACTCCTGGGCCATGCCCCTGCTACCAACCCACACTCTGAGCAGCAAGGGGTGGGTGCAGGCACACAACACATTCAAAGCTGATACTCCTGTGTTTGGGATGGGGGCAGGGGCTGTCCTGGGGCAGAAGGATGTGTAGGACGTTTAACAGCTTCCCTAGCTTCTACCTTCTATGTGCCAGTAGCGACTCACTTAATTGCACCAACCAAGAAGTCTCCAGATATTGTCAACCGTCCTCTAGGGTGGAATGGGGCTCAGATACATCTCGGTCTAGCCACATTTAAGTGCTGTCATAAAGCAAACATGCCTGGCCACTGGGTATGGTGGCCCAGGCCTGTAATCCCAGCAATCAGGAGACTGAGGCAGGTGGATCTCTGTGAATTCGAGACCACCTTTGGCTACCTAGTGAGTTCAAGTCCAGCCTGAACTGCAGAGTGAGAGAAACCCTGTCACAAAACAAAACATGTGTTTTACATGGTTGATGAGATGAAAAGTCAGAAGAACTTGACTGCACCCAAGATGCAGTTCTGTGCTCCCTCCATCTCTTCCCCAGTCAAATGCAAATTTCATTGGGCTAGTCCCCTCCTTAGAATCCCCACTATCTTCAGAAAACAAAACCAGACTCCTCACAAGTCCAGGAAATGGGCCCAAGCACCACCCATCTGTCCAGGCTCTAGTATCCCCAGACTAGGGATAGAGTGGGACCCCAAAACTTTGGTGAGGAGAAATCTCTGTTTCTTGGTTGGAACACAGGCTTTCCTCAACCGTTGAATCTTTGCGCACACTGCTCCTTCTGCTTGGAATATATCTGCCACTTCCTTGCCTGGCTAACACAGCTTATCTGTCACTGCGTGGCTCACATGTTTGTTCTGTGCTCTGGGAAGTATTTTCTGACCTGACCCAGTCTAGCTCAGATGAGCTCTTATGGCAGTTGTCAGACTGCACTGTATATATTTGTCCTTTGCCTTCACTAAACTGTAACTTAGATGCATAATAAGTATTAGAGCATAGTTCTGGAAAGCCATCTTCATGGCTCGACTTAGAGACCCTTGGCTCCCCAATAATTAAAAATATGTTTTAGTGTCTTTACTTTCACCGTGGGTTGCACTAAAAGTGGTAGTTTGGAATTAACTTGGCGGGAATCCAATAACATAACTTTGGGATTACAAATATTAACTTCTTGGACTCAGAGGAGAACCTGAAGGGGACTCCTACAATTGGTGCTCAACGTGGCTGGATCGCACAACCTTCTCAACACAATGACCAGTAACCAGAATCACCTGCAGCTGACCCACTGGACCTTGCGTGACCCATTTAAAGGACTCTACACATTCCAGATGGAGAGAGTGGTATCAGTGGATAACAGCAACTGCAGCACACAGGTTGTCTTACAACTTTGATGGAAAATAAAACTGATTTGAGGGGTGTGCTGGCTCAGCTCACACTGAGGGCGGGGCTGGCGCGGCATGTGATGCCTAGGATCGAGCCGTGGTTCCCTGTGCCCGCCTAAGCTTTCCTAAGCAGGTGCTTTTGACTGCTGAGCTATCTTACCGGCCCCTGATTTTCTAATGATTGAGAGAATAGTATTTGAATCCTGAGTATAATAATGGATTTTTCAATTGCAAAGTTCATTTTTATTTTTGAAAAAAGATTGAATAGTAAGATCATGTTAACATCAAAGACTTATAACAATTGTATTTTAATTGTGTCTCTTTAAATATGTCTCTATGTGTTTCTCTTTATCCTTGTAATTTTTCAGATATAAATTTACAGGAATTTGTCAATTCCTACTTTACATTGAGGTAAAAATGTATATTTCATCAGCTAAATTTTTTTTAAAAGTATTAGAGCATAGCTGGTGAATGAATGAATAATGGATGGATGGATGGATGGATGGATGAATGAATGAATGATCTTTGAATAAAACCTCTACCCCTTTCCCATAACAGAGTCAAAGTAACTGAGGCACCAAGAAAACAATGGGCACCAAGCCAGACATCCAGCATTTTCTCTGCCTGTCCTCCTTCATCTCAAGGGTTCAAAGCCAGAAGAAATAAAAGACATTTGTTCTCTCTGTACAGACAAAAAGCAGACTATCCTATCTTTGGTCAACTCAAACTACTGGTAAATTCTTCTCTGAGTCAAAACTGACTTCTTAAATATCCACCATATACCTAAATTCAGCCTTCAAAAGTCTGCTTTTTTCCCTCCAAATGCCATAGGATTTGTTGTCTCTAAATATTTCTTTTAGGAGCACATTATAACCAACTGACTATAATGGAGTGTTCTGGTATAATCAGTTAAGTACTGAAAGAAAAGCCACCCGAAGAAGTAAACTAATCAGAAATGGGCATGAAAGCACCAGCCCGATAGCTCAGTGGATTAAAGCGCCTGCTTAGGCAGACACAGGGCCCAGGGTTTGATCCCTGGCCTGCCATGCCAGCCCTGCCCCCACAGTGCACTGAGACCGCAAATGAGAGTGGATGTGGCAGCGCACTCCTGTAATCCCAGCACCTGGGAAGCTGAAAAACAGGATCACTGCAAGTCCAATCTGTGCAGTGAGACCCTGTACTAAATACATGAAAGAAAGAAGGAAAGAAAGAAAGAAAGAAAGAAAGAAAGAAAGAAAGAAAGAAAGAAAGAAAGAAAGAAAGAGGCATGAGCTGGATTGTCAGCCTGGCACTGTCTGCTCGGGGTACTTCTCTGCCTTCCCTCTCTATAAGGCAACAAGCCTGTACGTGTGGCCTGCCCCTCCACCCCAGTCCAAAATGATGCATTCCCTAATTAAACCAATGAGCTCCTTCTCCAGAAAATTTGGAATTGGCTACTTTCTTGAAGCAAAAGGCTAACCAATTCCCCCACTTGGAATAGGAGAAAAGGCAACAGGTCTCCAGAGTAAGAATAAAGTCAATGTTCAGGAAAGCCAAAGGAAGAGCAGAGACTTCTCAGCCTTGCCCCATCAGCACGTCCCTACTGTCAGCCGCTTCTGGGTCGCCGGCAGCACCTCTGACCATGGGTCCTCCGATACCTTAGTTACACTATAGCAAGCTCCCTCTCATGCCCAAGCAAACTTGAACAGGTCATCTTACTGGTTCCCCAGCACCCTAACAAGTGCACCACCCATCTATAGCAGGTCCCTCATCAGACTCTGAAGCCAATGGAGGAAGCGCCAATGTAGACCATGGCACCCATGGTAGCTCCCCCCACCCCATCAACCAGTGGCCCTGCTGGCCTCAGCAAAGCAATGTGGGTATTAGTTGCCCAATTCCTTACCGACAGGCATCTGGCTCCCCCGATGGAGATCAACCCAGCCAGAAGGCCCAGCACCATAGCAATCCAAGGCGTGGAAATCAGGTGACAGGAGGCCCCCACAGCCACACCTCCAGCCAGGACTGCATTGTGAATATCAATCTGCAAAAAAAAAAATCTTGTAGATGAATGAAGTGGGGCGCAGAGAGCACACCATTCTGCCCAGAATTTCTCAACAAGCTGGCAGAGAAGCAACCCTATAAAACCTTCCTACTTCACTGACCCTTGAAACCATCACTGCCCCCCTTGGGTTCATCTCACTCCCACCTCTTAGGCTCAGGTAGCTGTCACGTGACTGGGAAACAGAAGTGATGCTGGGGACAGGAAGAAGCATCAGTATGTGTGCAAAGCCTGGCACCCCCAGGTGCTGCCCAAAGAGTGGCTCCCTTCTTACCATGTTGATCTTCCCTTCACGGTGATTCAAGGCTGACACTGAAGTGGCTGTGACTGTGCTGACCGCAAGGGCATAGTAGGTGTTGAACACAGCATTCTTTTTTTCATTTGCAATGTCCAGCAGCGCGGAGTTGAAACTTGGCCAAAACATCCACAAGAAGAGAGTCCCTGCAGGATGGAGGGGGCCATTGGGCAGAGCCTTGCTCCTGCTCAAAGTCCTGAACCTCCAGGGCTTTCAGAGGAGGAGAATCCTACAGCTGGCAGGTCTGTACTTGGCCACTTTCTTGAGGCTTGGCTTGGGGAAAGTCATGACTCCTGTCTGAATCCTCAAGTTGGTGGGGACTAGCTTATATATTTTACAAGCAAGGAAAATAAAGCCTGTAGGCCGGGTGTGGTGGCACACACCTATAATCCCAGCACTTGGGAGGCTGAGGCAGGAGTGCAGCTGAGAGTTTGAGGTCAGCCTGGGCTACAAAGTGAGTTCAAGGGCAGTCTGAATTGTATAGTGAGACCCTGCCTCAAAAAGACAAAAATAAACAAATAAATTAAAAGACCTACAGACTCCAGGACTCCTGACTCCTGTCTGTAACGTCCAAATTCTTACTTTTAAAAATTACTACACTGCTTTAACTTGGCCCTCCAGGCTGATGTTTATGTGCCTGCTATTGGCCAGCTGGCTGGCTGATTTTCTTCCCGCCACCTATAGTTATCATTTTCACTGCAGTTTTGCAAAATGCAGCATTGTTGCAGTTCTCTTCCTACCCCTGTGCTTATTCGCAGACCCTGCTTTCTTCAGTGTTCTACTTTCCTGTTTTCAGTTGAGGACCAAAGGATTAGATATATGTATTCAGACTCCAACAGAAGAAGTCTCTCCTGCCAATGGAATATTAATGAAGAGGGGTCCCTAGAAAAGATGTTCAATCCAAAGGTAGGAACTCAACAAACATTCCTACAGAAAGATCTCAGGCACTCAGGTAAGAGGGTAATAAAGAGAATATTCTATACAGCATTTTCTTTCTTTCTTTCTTCTTCTTCTTCTTCTTCTTCTTCTTCTTCTTCTTCTTCTTCTTCTTCTTCTTCTTCTTCTTCTTCTTCTTTTTTCTTTTCATTTGTGTATTTGGTGCAGGGTCTCCATACGCAGCTCAGATTCATAGTGATCCTCCTGTTTTCAACCTCCCCAGCGCTGGGATTACAGGCCACAATGTGTGCCACAATGCCCAGACTCTGTCGATAGCTCAGTGCTTCCCGGGACTGGGGGTCGAACCTTGGTCCCTGTGCTTGCCAAAGCAGGTGCTTTGTCTGCTGAGCTATCTCGCCTTCCCCATATAGCGTTTTCTGAACCTCTTGGCTCCATCCCGACAGGAGACCACCCACCTGCCCACCTCGTCCTTACCCAGCATGGAAAACAGACTGGGGTGTGTGACCGGCTCTATATTCTCTGCCTGCACTTTCTTCTCCTTGGGAAGAGACCCCGAGAGGCACCGGGCCACGGCCAGCCCAAAATAGGCTGCAAACACATGGATGTGCATCATGCTTCGGTGGTCGTCCATCTGCAACAGAAGGGAGAGGAGCTGTAAGCGTCTTCTCTGCCCCTCATCAGCCTTGAAGTTCCTGCGAGAAAGTTCTGCACTTCCTGTAGGAGGTTTGACTTGAAGTCCCGAGACGGGTCCAGAGCTGATCTAGCTCAGCAGCTGGCTTTCCCCGAACCTGCTTGCAGGCACTTTAATAAGCTCCTACCTGCTGTTGGCTGAGGTCCACTTTGTGGGGTAAAAAGCCTCATAAACACACACCTACTTCCTCCTACTTCCCCGCAGAATTTCAACTCAATATGAACTTATGAATGATATATAAACTTTGTCACATGAAGCAGCCAGACTTCTTAGCCTACCAAACTCAAGTGTTTAGTAAATTTTAGGCACATGCTAATTTTGCTCCATGAATAGCAAGATTAGAGATCCTTAAGAACTCACTCAGTGAGCTACTGGTAAAGGCTGTCAGCTGTGCTTTCCAAAAATATTCAGAACTGGCAGCATTTTTACTAGCACCCCACCTTGGCTGAAACCCCCAACACTCCTACCACGAATTCCTGCACCACCATTTTTCCCGCATTTTTCTCCCAGCAGACAGAACAGGGGCAGGATGCAGGAATGTCCACTCTGAGCGCAAGCAACAGTACATGTATCGTCTATTGAGGATTCCAAATGGTACCAAAGCCAATCAATAGTCCATCTGTGTGTATTTTTCTGGTGCAGGAGATTGAACCCAGGACATTCCTACTGAATTACATTCTCAGCCCTTTTAAAATGTTGTGAGGGCTGGCCAGATAGGTCAGCAGACTAAAGCGCCTGTTTAGGCAGAGCGCAGGGTTCAATCCCCGGCACCACACACGGTGCCAGCCCAGCCTCTGGGACATGCTGAGACAGCAACTGAGTGTGGGCATGGTTATGTGAGCTTGTGTAATCCCAGTGCTTGGGAGGCTGAAAGCAGGAAGATTACTACTAGTCTGATCTGTGTAGTGAGACCCTCTAGACTCTGTACTAAATACATTAAAAAAAAAAAAGTTTTGCCTTGAGACAGGGTCTTGCTAAAGCACTAAACAGTTGTTCAGGCTAGGTTTCAACTTGCCATCCTCCTGCCTCAGCTTCCCAGAGTGCTAGGGCTATAGGCGGGGCCACCACTCATTTGGCTCCATCTACTTTTCATTATCATGATGTGCCAACACTTCTTTTTTTAATTTTAAAGAGAAAGTAAAATAAAATTTCACAACAAGGTAAAGGAAGAGAACAATGTTTACTGTTATCTTCACATTAGTTACTCAGAGCACAAGATATTGGCATTTAATTGTCCAAACAATATTAGCATAAGCCTTTCTTTTCAATGAACTAAGAAAAAATATATCATATATATA